AAAAAAATTTACTTTTTGCATGGACTTCGATAACTCCAAAACCTTTAGTTACAAATTATGAAGTTATGTACCACTCCACATGATCATTCAACTTGAAAAGGAGCTTCAAGGTGACAATGATGACAGCTACTGCTTGAATGTCATAGCGCAAGAGATGAGGCTTCTCCTTGCTGGGTTCAAAGGTCAGAAAAGAGCTGTCCCCCATAGCAGCCTGTCTTATAACCTTGTGGACCCAAACATGAAGGTCATCTGGGAAAGATCAGAAATAAATGGAGTCAAAAGTGTATCAAACAAACAGATAAAAAGACGATTATATGTGTTGGGTAAATTTATTTCAAATCTTAAGCCATCATTTGCCACAAACATTACTGTCAAAAACACCCACTTGGGAGGTTTGCCTCCAACAGATAGCGGACAGTGAGCGGAAACGGGTGGAGAAAGCAATCCTTCGAAACTGTTGGGAAGGAGGGTAATTGCAAGATCCGAGCCAGAGTCACAGCTTCTTTATGAACCAGCGAGTAGGACGGAAGGTACTGTGGAAGACCAGAAGTCGTCATAGCTATTAGAAATACAATACATTGTTTCTTGACTGAAGAAATGCGAACCAGATTTGTCTTCCTCACCCGAACATTAAAGAACTGGACATCTTTTCCGAACAGACTCAGCTCCTCTGGAAATGACTCATGAATGTTCATGTAAGGAACACACCTCTCTGAGACCATCCTGCATGAAATATCACAGTATAAAATATACACAGTATAAAAGCCATCATGTAATCATGATATTACATCTAAACACACTGACAGAAATGTTTAATGCTGCACACCAAGCAGAAACATTGCTTAGGACAAAATTTTGGGCCTAAAAATCATCCAAAGCAAAACATATTAAACGCATATAAATAGCATCAAGTCAGCATCAAATCAAATTTGACCCCATTTAAATGCATGTAAATAAGGGAGGATACTTTGGTGTATGTTATGCAAAAAAAAACTTTACACCTTTAATTAATCTTATAAGTGGACTGCATGATTTGGGGGAAAATCAAATTTTTCTGACAAATAAGAAGTTTTGCTGTGATTGTTTGTAGGGCTACACAATTTTGTATATATCAATATAACTATAAAGTAATAATAAATAAACCCCAAAAAAATCTTATTAAATAAAATGTTAGATTTAAAGGGTTAGTTCACCCAAAAATGAAAATTCTGTCATTAATTACTCACCCTTGTGTTGTTCCAAACCTGTAAGACCTTCGTTCATCTTCAGAACACAAATTAAGATATTTTTGATGAAATCTGACGGCTCTCTGACCCTCCCATGGACAGCAAGGTAACTACCACGTTCAAGGTCCAGAAAAGTACCAAGATGATCGACAAAGTAGTCCGTGTGACATCAGTGGTTCAACTGTAAAGTTACGAAGCTATGAGAATACTTTTTTGCGCAAAGAAAACAAAAATAACTACTTTATTCCACATTTTCGTCTCTACTGGGTCACTTTGGACGCACGTTCACGACAGTACCATGACGCGAGCATGTGGCGATGCCGGCGCTGACCCAGATCCGGCATGATGATATCATTACGTCGGATCTGGGTCAGTGTTGTAACTTTACAGTTGAACCACTGATGTCACACGGACTACTTTG